AATCTCAAGGCTTCCCTGATTAAGAACATTACAAATATATAACTGCTGCGAAATTTTCAAAAGAACCACCAGCTCAGTATTTAGTGATTGGCCATAGCTACCTGATTTCCATTTTCATTTTCCATTTCTTAATATTCATCTTTATTTAGAGTACCATCCATTTTCAGGTGGCCAAATTTCTGACTGAGTCCCTAAATGCCCTTAGAGATCTTAAACCTGTGAATATAAATCACTAGACACAGGAGCCTCGATCTAATTTAGATTGCATGGAGTGCTACTCTCTTCTGAGAGCAAATCAGCAGAGATATTCTGGCATTGTGACATAAAAGAATAAACAGAAATCATGAAAACATGAATTTTAAGCACTACCTCATACAGAGTAGAAAATCACAGAATCACAGAATCATAGGGGTTGGAAAGGACATCTGGATCATCTGGTCCAAGCCCCCGCTAAAGCAGGATCCCTACAGTAGGGTGCACAGGAAATCAAGTAAAAAAGTTTCAAATACAGAAAACCTTAAAGCTGTTAGGGACAGAAATGCTCTCCTTCTAAAGGCATTCTATTTGTTTAGAAACTTTGAGAAGAACAGTATAAGACAGCAAACTCCTGAAAGGGCTGTTAGCAATGAAAGGAAGGATTGTGGGGCTTTATCAATGAAAAAATATTTCTATTAAATAGTGTATGGTGATCTGAGCCAGCCACTCTTTAAAGACAACCAAATGGTGTCTGACTCAACAAAAAGCAGGTTGTGGCTTTGTAAGGAGAAAAAACTTTTCATCCTATAGAACAGCCTTATCTATAGTCAGACTGATTGTTTGCAGGAACTCCTCTTTATCTACTTATATCCTCTCAGTCTCCAGTAAGGTAATCAAGAACAAGCTCCATAATCTTTGTCTACCTAAAAAGATATATCAAATATATCAGATATTATCTAAATCAGTGACAAGCACTGTACATATGTGAGCATATGTGTCTGTGTGTACATATATGTGGAGAGGGATAGTAACCGTCTTTGATTTACAGATCCGTAAATACGCACACATATACTATTTGTATGTGGGTATGTACATACACACACATGTATTTATAATACATATATGTAAGTACTTATGCTTTTGTGTGATCTCTGAATAAGGAAGTCAAAAATAAGTTGGGAACATTCTTTATGAGTTTAACATATCATTCATTTTGATTTTTTTTTTTCACGTGGAACAAAGCAATCCCAAATTATTCTGGACTTAAGAATTTTATCAAAGAAAGCAGAATCTGGACCTTAACATATCCTTTCTAAACAGCAGAAAAAAATCTAATGTAAGTTCATTAAAACCTTAGAACATTTCTAGCAATAAGCAAAGCGTTTGGGCTACAACAAATATAAGCGAACCCCTCTCTCAAACAAGAGGGAAGCGTACCACCTAAATTCTGAAGCCAAAAATTTAGCCCTACAAATGTCAGTGGGAATTGGCCAATGTACATTTGCCACTGAGCATTTTATGTCAGTGTTTCCCATGCATCCACTCATCCAAAGAAAGACTGCAGCTGATTTAGTTGAGGCTACCACCTGCAAACTGGTAGTTGCCTAAATGCAAGAGGAAATCAATATCCACCCCATCAGAGCTCCTAGCATCCCCAGGAAGACTCAGTTTGAGGCACACTGAGGTGCTGGCCCATGCTGTCATCACACCTCCAGCACCTTTCCGCTAGCACCTTTTCTGAAACGAGAGTCAGGCTTCCAGCTGCTCTGATGAGCTCCTGTGGCTCATCAGACACTCTCACCCCTAGCACTCCTTACCCCTCCTGCCTCTCCAGCTGTACCCCCTAAATTATCAAAAGCCCACAGTATGCAGTGCGTGCTTCAAGTGGCTTTGTTGGTCAGGGATGAGAAAGTGATACTTCATAACATCATACTCCTCTGTTTTGTACTTCCTACCCAGATTTGGCAGGTTCTTTAGTTTCCGGCTATTCACCCCACCAGGCAGAAGGGGAGATAAGGTCACGTACCTTGGCACACCCAAAAGCTTTTGTAAAGCTGCAGAAGAGATCTCTTCTCTAACTTTTCTCCAATTTTTCTCTTTCAACAAATCATAGAATATAGAATACCTACCATACCATACACAGAACACAGAATGCCTACATAGAATACCACCCAAAAGCAGCACTCTTTCAGGCACCGTGCTATACTAGCCATCTAGCTTCTAGCCCTCAAGCCACCCTCATGTTAGTATTTCCATGCAGAACACTTTCCTCTGGTAATTTGTTGCTTTCTAGGAATCCAGCAAGGATTTCAAAAGATTTTTGTAGGAGCTACTCAGTTTGCCTGGAAGCAATTTGATTTTTAGAGACAATTCCAAGAAAACAATGAAAACAAGAAGAAATAGACAGTCAGATTACAGTTTAATAGATGTATCTGATGGTCTAATGTTACAGTCTACAATTTCATAGAGGTCATTACGACACTTAAAAATTGCAATTACTTTATCCAGAATATTGCTAAGTTAACTGAAATTGCTTGAATCTACACTAAGTAAAGCACGAGTCTGAAGCATTATATAACAAAGGAGCACTTACCTGTTATCATAGTTAGAGCTGATAAACTTGCTAAGGCTGGGATATCAAGGTTAAGGCTCTTTAAGTTTAAGGAAAAGTCTTTAATAGAGTCGAGCCACTCCCCAAATCCACGAAGGCACTGAAGTCTATGAAGCACAAGTCCATTGCAGAATACAAACTTATCCTCAGCAGTATCAGACCTCAAATAAAAATAATTGAAAAAATTAGAGACGCATCTTCAACTTTACAGCAAAATGCATAACCAGGATTGAAGTGTCTGTCATTTAAAATCCAAGGCACATTATCCTGAGACATATGTGGGCATTCACGTTTGACAATATGCTTCTCCCTTGGGGCAAAAGTACAACAAACAAGCTTCTATGATTGCTTACTTTGTAGAGATATAAGCCTGAGGTTAGCTGTAGCATGTGGCGTAGACTGTCTAATTAGTTAAGATTTTGGTCCTGCCCAAAGGCATAAACAGAGAAGACATTTTACATTAAATACTGTATGTTTGAATCGCAGTAATACTACGTGTGTGCATTTTGAAATGCAAAACTAATGAAAGCTGAGGAGAGATGGGGTTCTGCAACTCTCAGCACTTACTTGGTTTGACCTGCATTTTTCATATTGTAAAAATTAATACAGAAAAAAACAATGGAAAACACATGCAATAATGCACAACATAACAGACTCTTTTATGTGAGAACCTATCGCAAGAGTGATGTTATTGCCAGGATCTCTCTCCTCCCACCCCCCATTGCCAGTATCCCTGTTAAGAGCTACATGCAAAGGTCATTTTCGACCTACAGAAGCAAGGCATAATTCAAATCACCGGTGTGGAATTTCTCCAGTCCCTGAAAGTGTCTTTGGTGAAATATCTTAACTGGTGCCAGGCTGACAGACAGCACCTCGTTCTGCTGGGTGACTTGGTATTAAGGAAAAAAATAATTTGAGCAAGATTTTAAAGCTCCTTTGTCCCTTTCAACAACAGACTACAGAGATGCGCGTGTGTGAAAAAAAGAAAGGAAAAAAAAAGGAGAAGCTTCTATACTAAAAATGCTTTTATATAGTTTATGCTGATGAGTATGAAGCAAAATTGTTCAAACTGTACCCAAGGATCAATTTTGATTTCTACGGAAGAAGAGGATGTGGTGTATCAAATAAAAAGAAGCGCATTAGTGAGAAATATGCTCCCTTTTAAAATCACTGCCTTATCTTTTGTGCAGCATAAAACAAATTATGCATCATCTCTTGTGGATGCAGACATTGTTGATGTTTTCTGTCATCATTTTGTTTGTTTGTTTGTTTTTTGCAATTGACAGCATTCCATTGTATATATTTATTTTATATTATATATATATATATTGTATATATATATTATATTATATATATTATATATATATTTATATTATATATTTATATATTTATATATTTATATATTTATATGTATCGCTATATTTGATCCTAAGAATGTGCACATGGGTGATTTTTCACATCAGCTGAAGAGGAAATGAAAGAAATAGTTACCTGATGGAGAGTCTTAGTACAAACAGCTCCAAAAAAGCTGATTCTATGAGTAATGTCTGATCTTCTTTTGGGAGGTCAGTAAATCCTGGAATTTTTTCTGCCCAGCCTCTGGATATGTCAATGGAGGCAGTCAGAAGATTATAGAACTGTTGTACATGTTCTGCATCTGTGCCTGCAGCAGCCTGGTCGGTGGAACAGTACTGAAAGAAAAACCACAGAAAGCAGCATTACAACACGACATGCATTTCAGGGCATCCTGAGGAGCATATGGTGCTACCTGCCTAACAATGCTTCCTTCTGCAGCAACGCTGACACAAGCATCCAAGGCACACTGAGCAGGTCTCCATCTATCTACCTGCTCAGCTACCTGGAGGCATTTTGCTATTCAGATGTATATTGCAAAGACATTTCCACAATTAGAGAAATTGTTTGAAATTTGTAAGTAATATGCAATATTTATTACATTTTGCAAGTAGCTCCATGCTATTAGCAAACAGAAACAGCAATCTGGTGGGGAGGATAATTTCAACCACAATAAAGGAGGAACACCATTTAGCTTACTGCAATTAAACATTTTTCCCATTGATGAATTTGTCTCAGTACGTCCAAAATGCAGATTTCTTCCCCAGCTTCTCAAATTGCATTTTATCAGACAGTGATAGAGACACGCAAGATAAATCATCTTTTATCTGACACGTGCAGCATGGCTTCATTTGAATATAGAACTGGTTGAAAGTAAACCAGCTGCCCCGTATCACCTCTTATCCTATACAGAGAAGCATTTCAGGCTCAGGAGAACCTATTATCCCACTGATTCGGCCATAACTTTTCCAAACAACCGCCTGACAGCCCCAGCTTGCAGCACTTCCCTGCGACCCTCCGGCAGCTCCCTCCCTGCTCTCTCTCACTTCCTCAGCACTGGATCCCTGTCCCTCCCGGGGCACTGTTCTTTTCAAGAGAAAAAGTAATAGGAGCTTTGGTGGCTTAGTCTGATTCTGTGCTTGGAAGGTAACAGCAACCCGCCATCAGGCATCGTGTGGGGTATTTCTGGGAGGGACTTCTTATGAGCCTGAGACTCAGCCAGGGAAAGGATGGGGTGATCTTCATTAGTGCACGCCTGTTGGAAGCTACTTTCCACACACAGTTATACCTGAGCCCATCAGCCTGAAGGTACTCCTAGCAGCTCAAGTCAGAGGGGAAGAAGAAGGACCCACATCTCCTCTCCACTGAGCACGATGGGAGCCTGGAAGGATCTTACTACAGGCATACCCCTTTGGCTGCATGTATCACCCAATTAACTCTCTGTGCAGGGCAGAAAGGGGGAACAGCAAGCAGATCCTCTTGGGTAGGCGTCCTGTTCCCTGCCTGCCCTAGTTGGAGCTGTTTGCTGTTGGTAGGACAGAGTTTCACAGTCAAATTGATTGTTGAACCACAGCAAAGACATGAGAAGTCCTAGAAATCTCTGGCTACATCTGGGCTGTCAGTGCTCACATGGAGACAAATTCTGCCATAGCCACTCTGAAGGAGGACAGAGTTGCAAGAGGGAGGATGAAATATCCAGAAGATGGGAAAATATCCAGAAGAGTAGAAAATTTGTACACTGCAAGAGGCTCATCTCTTCTTTCTATGAAAGAACCTGATGAGGAAGCTCAAGCAGTGCAAAACACTACTCCTGGCACTGAACTGCAGCACAATGCACTGGGGAACAGTTTGTGGCTGGAAAAAGATGGTATGTAGAGATCTTGCAGCCCCTAGTAATGAAGCTAAGATAGTGAATGTGAGGTGGTGGTCTTGTCCACTGTGTGGTCTTCAGCTCCTCAAACTCTAGAAGATCTGCCCTGTTGTGCAGGAGCTGATGTGACTCCTTTTATATGAGAAAACAGCAAATGTGGGCTGATGGAAATTCCTGCCTTGCCTACAGGTAGTGTTAAGGTAAGACACATTCTTGATCCTCTGATCAATGAAAAAGGGGGGAAAAGAAAAAAGATACTACCCTAAATTCACCCAAAATATAACACATTGCAAGTTGGTGTAATGATGTCAGGTATTAACTTCTCAATAATTATAAAGCATTCCTTCAGCAAAAGTAAGACAAAGTTTTAATATTGTCCAACTAAGCTGAATGCTGCATTATGTCACATAACTGAATGCTGCAGTACTGTATACCCCACGTGGGCCACTTAATTAAATTGAATGCACCAAATAAATAAACAAATAAATAAATAAAAATTAACCTGCATATGTTATTATAGTTCAGCCCTTGAGAGCATTTTTAGAAGAAAGGTAAAAACTATAAGGAATTACGTAGTTTTGAACTGCTATAATATGTCACTGCTTGCTACACAGAGTTAGCACTTACAGAGAATAGCTGAAATAAAATGCTATTTACTTCCAGCAGTCTTCATGAGTGTATAAGAAGGCATAAAAAAATGTATGCTTCAGTTTTTTACACAAAAAACTTTTTTCTTCTTTTCCCTCATGATTATTTCACTGAGGAGAATCATAGAATGGGTTGGGTTGGAAGGGACCTTAAAGATTATCCATTTCCAACCCTCCTGCCACAGGGATATCCCAAAAAGGGATAGCTCTGCCCTACACAGCGCTTGCTGCCCTGCTAGGAATTAAACGACACCGACTGGCTCAAGGGAGAGATGCGTGCACAGCAAGCAACACTGATTTATAAGGTATATCTAAAAGGCTGATAGCTTGGTAGCATGATCCAGCCCGACCCCTTGCCTACTTTTATCGGACCTCCATGGACTGCTGGAGCTACAAAAGTCTAACAATGATGGTGTTGCATATTTACCATATGATAGCTAGAAGCTAGGCTTGTTTCTCCATGCATCCACGTACCCTTCCTGTGTCAGAAGCACCAACATTTGCTACATATTTTAGTTAGGGATTGGGGTGGGATCATTGGCTGAATGCCCCACCAAAAAATAAACATCTCCATTTAAGTCGGTGGCTGCTTTGCCTGAAGAAGGACGGCAAGGTACAGGGTCTGCTTCTCATCTCACTTACTGAGAAGTCTAAACCCATGGAATTGTACCAGTGAAACAGGTGTGAGACCTGACCACGGCCCTTGGCCTTTAAAAAGTTCATAAACCAAATTCTGTTCCTAGCAATTGCTTTTTGAAACCAAGTACCTAAATATACCATTGCTGTGGGCTGGTAAGTTAAAACCAGTGCTGAAATGAGAAGTAGCCATGTTCTCAACAGAACTGGTTCCACTGTGTTTTGCTTTAAAACATATGGATTATGCAATTTAATTTTGTTTTTTTTTTTGATGTAGATGGTTGCATTTGTTTGGAGGGAAGAAGCGCACGTTCCTCTCCGAAACTCTTATCTGTATTTTTGCAACAGTCAAGACGTTGCAAACATCTTGCAAACATGAAGACCATGCTAAACATTAAGGTCGTGACTATGGAAGTGTTAGGACTGACTCCAAGCCAGGCTTTCAGATCCACCCATTTGTGGTGCACGGCAGGGTCACGGCCGAGCAGAGCGTGCCGCAAGCCCGTCCTTACAGGTACAGCGTCCTTCACATTAGTTTTGAGTGTTACAGTGGGATTCCAGCATGTTTCTGTTAGTTAATGTCAGTGTCTACTCAGCAGTCTTTCCTGATTTCCCTTAACTTTTTAAAGAAATATAAGTTTCACGGAAAGCATGTGAATCTATTGCTTTCATTTAGCTTATTTTTTGTATTTTCAGTACTGCCGAGCATAACAGATTAGTATATATTTTAATGTTAAGAAAAACGTAGGTATTAGCGTGTCCTAACAACCATACATAATCTTTTAGCTACCGAAACTAAATTAATCTGATGTCAATCCTATGCGTTCTGTAACGACCACCAGGATTGTTCAGCAGTGAGACCTTTCCACTTGAACAGCAATAGCTGTCACAGGATAAAGAAGAAAGTCACATTAAAAAAAAGTCAGAGTTTTCATTTAATTATTATTATTTATAATGCAAAATAATGTTGCTTCTATAGGTAAATACGTGAGATTGGATAATGCTCTCGCGGACTGAGCTGTCATGCTCATTTAATGCTATGGAACCCAGCAGAGTCCTGTCTGAAAGCACAGCTGGACGTGGACCTCGGTGTTTGCAGAACGACCCCGAGACTCCCTGGGTAAGTTAAAATACATGTAAACATGGGCAATGCATTCTCCCTCAAAGGCTGTCAGGCACTAAACAACTCGTTCATAAAAACAATTTGTAAAACTGCTGGACTGTATACGTACTGACTAGCTTGAAGAAAAGAAGTTACAGCATACCTATAATTGCTAAATTATATATGTAGTATATTTTAAAAGTATACATTAAAATATATTAAAAAGTAATTACATATATAAGCATATTCTAAGCTAGAAGAATACATTTTTATATAATTACAACAGAACACATTTTAGCATTAAATATTACTTAGCAACAAGTGATAAATGGACAATGTGAATATTGTCTGAGTACAGCTGTATTTTTCAGTCTGAGATTTAATCATATTTCATTAAGTGGAAGGAATTTGAATCTTGTTTTTCTGTAGCTATATTTTTTTTCTTTTCATGTATTCAGCCTTCCTAAGAATGCATTTTACAAGCTGCTTCTACACTATATTTTAATAACTACAGAGCAGTTTTATAAGCTTTCAAAATATACCTTATCAATATTTAAATGGTGCCCACTACACATTAAGGAACTAGGGTAAGAAAATAAATAATATGTGGTGAAGCTTTGCTGATACAATCTTTTAGAATTTTGATTTAGAGGTTTGTTTCCTGAATGTGAATTTCACTTAAGAAATATTCCTGCTGGGACATCCAAAGCTGGGCTCTGTAATCTTTGAAATAATGGCAAATTTCCTATGATTTCAACGTAAACGGAGCTATCCATTGCGTGTTATTTCACACAACACTCATAGCTGCACGCTATCAAAGTTCCGTTAGATTTTAGCATGAATAACTTGAAAATTAAGATACCAGACACACGGATAGTCCTGACTTTGGGAGATTAATCAGTTGCATTGTAATCACAGCCTTTTGCAAGACAACCAGTCTACTTATCCACATAATTTGCTTTGACTCTCTCAAATATACATGGTAGATAACCTTGAATATAAGACCCTCACACTGAACAGCTGCCAACCGAGTGCCGGCACACCTCTTTCCCCACCATTACCCACCCACCCAAAAGGCACGGCCGGCTGGCCAACTTCTACTCTCACCCCAATTTCACATTTCTTTTCATTTCAGCCAACCAGCTAGGAATGCAGCTCATGAGTCATTTCCATGCAGAAAACAAACAAAGAAAAGCGAGACATACTCGTGAATAGTCGAGCTCCCTGGGCGTGGAGTCGGTTAAAGCTCGTACGAGGGCGTTCATCATGCTGATGGGAGGAGAAGGCGGGGAGGGCTGCGAAGGTTCCTGCTGCAGGGGGCTCTTTGGTTTGGAAGGCAGCCGACCTCTTCTCCCTTTCAGGCTGTCCGTGCGGACAACTGCATAGAAAAGAAGCGTGTCGGTGGTAAGGACACGGTAAAACGACAGAGCAGCATGAGCACCTGCTTCCCCTGCGATGGCCAGCCCAGCAAAAATAAGAGCATTCTCCAATTTCAGCACACTGTTGATGCCTTTGATGGCAAAGAAACACAAACGGTACCAAAACTGATTTCAACTATGACCGTAAGCAGCAGAATAACTGCTTCCTTGGAGCCCAGCTGTGTTTCTAGTGCTCATGCTTTGTTTGCAGCACACCTGTGTACCCCTATATGCACACATACAGCCCTACTGCTGAATGAAAACACAGTTTGAAACACAAACGTCACCTGCTATATGGCAGGGCTGTTCTTTCACAGTAACTTTAGCTTTCTCAAAGCAGTCAAAAAATATGGTCACACTATATAGGCTGTATTTCCCATGTCAGTATTTGCAATAGGACTGCTCACACAGTATTACTCACATACTTAAATATTTGCAGAACAGGGACTAATGAGTTGATCCAGTTTCCATTTAAATTAATTGCAAATTTACAATCAGCTCATGGCCACGAGACAAGATCCTATGCAAAAAGGCACCCAAGACAACAAAACACTGATGCTACAAGATAACGTGCGGAAGCCAACTGCATTAACGAATGGCATTCAGAGTTCATAAAGGACACATTTTGGCCAGAGTCAAATTATCCCCTTGTGACCTTGCAATCCTTGAACTCTGGGCTCCCAGAAAGTCTAAACATGTTAAACCCACTCAACTGGGCAACAGGAAAAAAAATAATCAATGATGTGTTGTTGTACAGATGCACGAATTGGAGGGGCAGCTAGGAAGCTAATTTCCAAGTCCGTAGTAAAGACATCTACGTCCACACACACACACACACACACACACACACACGTGCTCGTTCAACATAACGCTCCAGCATTTGGGATAATAATAGCAGTAGCCCTCACCTTCTTTCACCATGCCGACGCTGAGACACTTCTGAAAGCGGCAGTACTGACATCTGTTACGGCGTCTCTTGTCCACCGGACAGTTCTTGTTTGCCAGACAAACATATTTTGCATTTTTCTGAACCGTCCTCTGAGAAAAGGCAACAGAAAAACAGCGAACCGAGAGTTTTGTGAACAACTTGGAACCTGACAACATGTATTTTAATTACAACGTGAAAAGCGACAGTGCAATTCATATAATTAGATAAAATTAATTTCCTAACACACTAGCCTGCAGGAAAAACAATTTTATTAGTGTTAGCTACTGACAATGAAAATCATCGAGGATTGTTCTGAAGCAAGTCTCCGGAGACAGGCAACTTTGAATGATAAAATCATATCTGAAATTACCAGGTCATCGCATCTACCTTTGGGGATTAGATTATCTCCGCTTTTAATATCCCTTTGGGAACAATTTTCTACTTGGTTCATTCCCTTGATTATTGCTGACCTTATTAAAATAAAACCAAAACGATCTGCGATGTATTTCTCCTGCTATCGCTATTGTTAGGCGAATGCCACAACAACTGGTTTGGTTGCCATTAAGATCAGCAGGGAGAAAAGTAAAAATAGCAGAACTCCTCCAAATATGTTCAGTTAAATATTCTGGGAAAGCCGACCTGACTTTTGGGAAGAAATGGACCGAGTTATACTGTAGCCATATATGTAATTAACGCTTAAAATGGCTTACATATAACTATATATAAACTATACCGTGCGTTAAAAATTTGTAAAAACCTGGTGAGCCTTGAAAAAAATGTAATAGAAGTTGTCACAAAAAATATATATATATTATTATAATATGTTAGGATATTTATATATTGTTTTCGTACTTAAAGTCAAAGACAGCTTAGCACCGAAAGATATTAATAGGAAAGGCATCAGAAGAGGATCAAATTCATCAGTTCAGTTTGGTATTAAATCTTTCACTGCAATTAAATTATCGGGGAAATGCTATTTTAACATTGTTCTTTCTCGAGGAGCAGCTGCAATGGAATAAATACAAGGGACACAGCAAATGCTGCTCATTACACTTGAGAACTGAGAAAAGAAGAGTGCAGGACAAACTGTGGATCCTGCCCCCAACGAGGGACATGCTATAGATTTCCACGGGGGCAGGGTCAGGCCCTCAGGAGCTGCCATTTCCAGGTTATCTGTGCTCCATTTTATAATTATTTTTAAATAACAAACGAGTTGCAGGGGAGATGTGTATTTTACCTCGTTGCCAAAGGATTATTACCAAGTAATAGTAGCAGTTATATGCACAATAACAACAGCGTAACGAGGTGAGCCCTCCCCTCCAACTACTTTGGGACTATTTTTGTTCCCATCGTAGTTAGGATATCTTTGGCAGAACAGGGGCACAACTCCTATCTGTGCTGAAAGAAATAGACTGAATCGGCCCCAAATTTCATAGACTCATAGAATTACAGAATGGTTTGGGTTGGAAGGGACCTCAAAGGCCCCCCAGCCCCACCCCTGCTATGGGCAGGGCATCTCCACACCAGCTCAGGCTGCCCAGAGCCCCATCCAACCTGGCCTTGAATTTATCAACTTTTTAAAGTCTACTGCTCAAAACCACTCCCCAAAAAGTCTACCCCAACTGCTTCGCTGGTGCCATTTCTAAAAGCAAAACAAAACAAAACCTGAACTAAATTTGCTGAAATTATGAAGTGCCAGAATCTAAAAGCAGAAGGAATTTCAGTCTTAAAAATGTCAGCACATGATTTCGTCTGCCTCAAAGTGGATTACTGCTGTCAGCAGTGCTTCAGAGCTACAGTGCTGGGACACCTGAACCAAGAGCAGCACTGAGGCAGTGACCAAACACAACATTGCCTGAGGTTTCCTCCTCGTGCCGGTGCTGCTCTGGCCTTCTGAGCCACTTCTACAACTACCAATGATGGGTGCGGAGCTTGGAGCCCAGGGGCGGCAGGCAGGGAGGGGAGCAGGGTGTCTCACCTTGAAGAAGCCCTTGCAGCCCTCGCAGGTCCGCACGCCGTAGTGCTGGCAGGCAGCGTTGTCCCCGCAGACGGCGCACGTGCCCTCCCCAGACGAGGAACTCCTGCTGGGCGGAGAGGGCAGCCCGCCACCACCACCACCGCTGGCCTCGCCCATGAGGCCAGAGGCGGCCGCGTTGAGGCCGAGCGGTGAGAAGGCTAAGGTGGCCGGCCGCTTGGCCAAGGGCAGCCCGTAGGAGTGGCTCTCCATGGGCGCCTGGCCGGCTGGCGATCTGTCGGAGCCCAGCGGCAAGCTCAGGGAGGCCGGGTCGTAGCACATGTGGGGGCCCGCCGGCGGTGTGTGGGGAGGAGAGTGCTTGAAGTGGAAGAGGGGGAAGCGCGGAGGCGCAGTCTTCATGGGGGCGGCCTCCATCAGGTGGCCGGGGGGCAGGCAGGTCTGTGTGGGAGGCAGCGGGGGCTCGTCCCACAGGCTCTGGTGCGGGGGGAAGCCGGGCGTGGTGGGTGTGGAGGGAGGCGACTGCTTGAAGTACATAGAGGTGCTGGGCATGCTCTCGTCCACCGAGGGGGGCAGCGAGGGCTGGTAGGTGGAGAGCCGGGCATCTTCCATCTTGATGAGGGGCCTCTGGCCGGAGGAGGCGGATTGCATTTGGTAGAGGCAGGAAGGCTTGAGCTCGTAGCTGCCGGAGTAACCCTCCATGAAGGTGCTGAAGCTGGGGAGGGAGGTGGTGGCAGTGGCGGTGATCTCGGTGCCGCTCAGCTCCATGCTCAGCTTGCCATAGTCCGGGTTCATGATCTCCGAGCTGTACTCCGAGCCATACGCGTAGGTCTGAGCTGCATAACTCGAACCAGGCGGCGAAGGGCTATACTGCGCTTGCACACAGGGCATATCTGCAGGGGCAAAGGAGGATGTTACAGCCAGCCCCGCGGCCCACAGCCCCATTCACTACCTCCTTCCCGACAACGAGCTGCCCGCATTTCCCAGAGCTCTGTCGGAGCCTCCCGCTCTCACCTGGAGGTGAGAAGTATAAATCAGCCCCGAGCCGCTGCCCTTCAGCAAGAAACGTGCATTGGGGGTCGGGTATTGGGGAGCAACTCCAATCTATAGCGGTGTCAGTGGGAGAAGGATCCATCTCGGGCTGCCCCAGATCCGCTGCTCCATATCCATAGGTGTCAATGAGAATTAGATAAGCAGAACGGGAACGGTTTATGGTGCTAAATCTATCCCCGTATGCGTCAGAACGTGCCATAAAATCTTCATGAAGGGTAAACTAGATTACCAAATGCATAATATTAAAACCAATATTTATTACGAAAGGAACACCATTGGCAGCGGGTGTCAGAGCTCAAACGTATCCCTGAATTTGCAAAAATGGAAGAGAAAAAAGGATGGGGTATTTCTGTTTTCAGAAGATAACAGAATTGGTTTTATCCATCAGCCATAAAAGTTAACATGGCTCACTGGGAGCTGGGATGCTTTCAGCAAGGCAGTGCACGGCTGCAAAGACTTCATCCTTTTCCATTTCCCACTGATGCACTGTCTCCTTTGTTGCTGGCAGGAAATCGTGGCCACAGCCCACATGAGGTTTACCTGACCGCCGGCTGCTGCCCCACGTCTGCAAACCAAACCCAAAGCACACAGCATGCCCAGGGTGTGCAGCCGGGGGGTACAGTGCACCCATCTGTGCCGTTTCCCCAGTGAAGGGGAAGAGGAACGTGGGAAAATGTCCATCAAAATTAAGTTCATTTCCTCTTAATTGTGGCAATTTGTGTTTTGTAAGCAGCTGATAAATAACTCCTGTTAAAACACAAAGCTGCACTGAAAATAATGGGGTTTGCATTAGGATTTTAAGAACGCCCTTTGCTAATGATGTTTAGACACCCACTTGCGCGTGCCATGCGAGAACCCAACCAAAAGGTGCCAAACAAACTCGTAGCTCTGCTGTGCAGGTAAATGGAAACTGAACACCAGATCTCACTGTACCATCACATAGCGTTCCCATCTTTCTTCTCTTTGAGTAAACATTAAGAAGTGACAGAAAAAAAAACAAAAACAAAACACCAAAAGCATAAAACAGCGCCGTTTTCTAAAATTACTGCTTAGAAAACAGGCAGCAGGACAGCGCTCTCCCAAGCCTCGCCTCCCAGCCCTGCCTATCTCCCACCATTCCTTTTCTTCCTATGGATATCTGCGCCCGTGCCAAGTCCCGCTTCTATCACCGGTTCGGCTCGAAGAGTAAATACAAAGGGCGAGCAATGCCTTGCCCGCACCTCCGCACCGCACTGGGGCCGCGCCGAACCCGGCGTGAACCCGGTGGGGGTAAAAGGGCTTTTAGCAGCTCCCGGCAGGCACAGAGGCTGATGGAAGGCACTGGTGTGGGTGGGGGGTGTTTCTGGGCACGCCAGAGTAACGGCCTGCGTTCTGCTCAGAGCAGACTAAGAAAGCCCAAGTCTAAAATAAGTCTGACCTGGGGACAGCAAAACAGACCCTACACAAAGGTCCGCTGCGGCCACGCGGCTCCTCCTACCCCGCTGCCGCCAGCGCCTCCGCCTCGCTGACCCCAACCCAACCCTTCCTCTCGGGGCACCAACACAAACGACCTCGCGGCTGTCCCTCCTTCCCCGACGCTATCACTAAAAGCCCCCACGCCGCAACGCGCGGTACGTGCCGTGCCACCGAGCAGCCGAGCGGGAGATCGGGGCTGGAGCTCTCGCCGCCACGACCGCCGCTTTCCCATCCCGCCACCCCGCGAAGCTCCGCAGGTCCCACCCGTTCCCCGCCCGCCCCCCGTGGCTCGGGGCGGCCTCGCACCTCCGTCCCCTCTCCCCCCCGGCTCACCTGGCGGGTACCTTGCGCGCTGAATGGTGGGGCTGGCGGGGCGGGCGGCGGCGGGCGGCGGCGGGGTCGGCGCCGGCTGGGAGCTCTCCGCGGAGGC